CTCCAAAACGCGCTTGGGACCAACAGCTAACGGTCTTTCGTTTAGGGAGAGAAAGAGGAGGAGCAAAGAACAGAGGTTTGAGGGACGAGGGTGGCGTTTTGTGATTCCTGGGAGGATCTCCTTTGCCTTGGGGGCGTAGCGGGTTGGGGTGGCCGGGGTCGGGCTGTGCTGACTTTGAGGGCAAAGAACAGAGGTTTGAGGGACGAGGGTGGCGTTTTGTGATTCCTGGGAGGAGCTCCTTTGCCTTGGGGGCGTAGCGGGTTGGGGTGGCCGGGGTCGGGCTGTGCTGACTTTGAGGGTCTCCCGGCCTGTCCACTTCCGCAGCCCGACTTTCCCACCTAGAAGCCAGCCCTGCCACTTGATAAGGTATCACGCTGAACTAGATAACTCTTCTGTGTCTTCGTTTGCTTTTCTGTAAAAGGGAAATAAAAGTAATATCTTCCGAATAAAATGTTTTGAAAAAAAGCGACATAGTGCAAAAGGTTTAAAACAGCCTGGCACGGACGGGTATTGTTATCTACAATAATTCTCCGAGAAGCGCCCGTTGCGCAGTAGCTTCTGTGAGCCCAGGAAGGTGGATTGTCCCTGACTCCTGGACCTTTTTAGGAAGGAGAGGGTTGCTTCTAGCTGGTACGGAGGATGTCACTGGTTTATCGGGAATGGAGACGCAATCCTTGCATTTCACAGCCTTCTTTCCTTCCCCAGCCCTGACTTGTCAAAAAGCTCTGCACGGAGGAGGAGGCAGCAGAGCTCCATGTGAGTTAGAGTGACCATTCTTCTTATAAAAAGATGTTCACATAGACCGGGGAATGTGTGGGTCTCGTACTTGGGCATGGAAAGTGATAATAATTAAGCACTAGTTGGCTAAATTCCATTCTAAGGGATTTGTACAAGTGAACACTTTTTCGCCGTACACTGGCTCTGTGAGGTGGTACTGCTATTTTTCCTACTCAAAAGATGAGAAGACAGACGCAGGGAACAACCTGTTTGCCAGTGTTCCCCCGGATGGTAGGAAGTGGAGCTGGCATTGGAACCGAGGCAGTGCGAGTTCAGACCTGTGTTCATAAATTTCTTTGGTATTTTCTCCGTGAACCATAGGAAACTAGCTAGTATTATGTGAAAATAGGTTGGGACTTCACTATGGAGACCTTGAGAAAAAGGTTTGTAGTACTTTATGATTTTTTTAAAAATTGTTTTCTCAATTATTTCATTTCCTTTATTTCAGATATTTATAGAAGTAATATATAGTCATGGGAAATTCAGGAAATACAGAAATAAATAAAAATTTTAAATTACCCATAACCTTAGGATGTAAAGATAATAATTATCAATGTTTTAGTGCCTTTTTGTCAAGGCATTCTTGTGTATATTTCTGTCTAGTGGAAGCCGTTTTCTTTTGGACTGACAGTGCACTGCAGGGCTACTCAAACTGTGGTCCACAAACCAGCAGCACTGGCATCACCTGGTTAGAAATGCCCATCCTCAAGCCCTACCCAAGACCCTCTGATTTGGAATTTCTGCAGATGGGACACAGGAACCTGCATTTCAGCAAGATCCTAAGGTGATTCCTGTGTGCATTAACTTTTGAGAAGCTCAGGAAAGAGTTTTATCTGGAAACTCATGCCTAAAAAATTGACCCTGCCAGACGTCACACATAAAACTGAGCTGGCCACACTAGAACCCTACTTAGTCCAGTGATTATTTTTCCCCACTAAATATTGTCAGCTGTCAAGTTTCCTTGCACAATCCTGACATGAGTAGAAGGCAGCTGGCAAGTCTAGAGTCAAAATGGAGTAAATTAGAAGCCATGAAGATGTATTTCTCCTAGGCTTTGGAGAGTAGATTCATTGATCTTTTTGTACTAGAGGACTTCTACCCGAAGTAGGAAGAACGACTACTAATTACTGTTAATTTTTTTTGTGTGTGTGTGAATGGCCAGTACTGGAACTAGTTACTGTTAATTAATGTTAGATATTATTGCCACGGTCATCGTCAGTGTCATCATCATTATTATTGTTATTACTGTTGTTATCACTATGACAATTTCCTGATTTCTTCAACTATTTGTTTTTATATAATTTTAAGCTTATAGAAAAGTTGCAACAATAGTGTAAGGAAATCTTACATAATCTTAACCCCGATTCACCAATTGTTTACATTTGCCTATTTTCCCTGTCAGTGACCATCAGCCAAATAATACCAGGAACATACCTGTGATCAGAGACAGTTAAGTTCGTTTTAGCTTGCTGCAGCAAGGAAGCCCACACATCACATGCGGATACGTGGGGTATCTTGGTAAGAGACAATCGGGAGAGGCTGGTTACAGGGTTTTGGCTTGTGTTAGCTGAGCTGGAGAGAGTTTTAGGCAGTGAGGGTTCGCTGTGGATTGGATGCTGTCAAGAAGCAGAAGCAATTTATTGACTGAATATTGTAATGATTTTTACCGAGGAGATGGGAGAAACAAAATGAGATTGGAGTTGTCACTTGTAAAGAAGTATGTGGCCAAAAAAAGAAAAGAAAAGGAAAAAACGTGGGCTGGCTGGTTAGCTAAGTTGGTTAGAGTGAGGTGTTATAACACCAGGGTCAAGGGTTCAGATCCCTATATGTGCCAGCCACCAAAAACAGACAAACGAAAGAAGTATGTAGCCACTCATGTTAGCAGGTATGAGGCAATTATTTGGTTATTTCTGTCATTGTAGAATGTATTTGTTTCTGTGTTACAGATTGTCTTGTTTTTTCTTGTTCACCATCATCACTATGTGGCCCTGTCTGCTTCTTGCTGATCAGTTAAAAACACTGAGTTTGGCTGTTGCTGCTATTAGTTGTCATAGCTTTTTTTTTTTCTTTCTTACAGCTTTATCATACTTATATTTTGTTGTGATTTTTTGCTGAAGCATTTGAGAGCAAACTAGAGACAGTGATTAAAATGAAATTAACTACACTGAAAACATGCTGTTATCTACTCCACAGTCCATGTTTAAATTTGTTCAGTTTTCTCAATGAAGTCTGTGAGAGCAATTCCCCCCCCGCCCGTAAGGTCTAGTTCAGTTGTGTGCTTTGCACTTAGTTTTTGTTTCATTAGTCACTTTAATCTTTAATCTAGAATGATCTGTGAGACCTCAGACTTTTTTTTTTCTCAATATTTTTATAGAATATTGACAAATCATTTTGTAGATTGTCCCTATTTTTGGTTCATTCAGTATTTGTTCATAATTGAATTTAGGGTGTACATTATCAGCAGAGATGCCACAGAATTAGTGAGGCATTCTTTTCAATGCATCCATCATGTGTTTAGTCAAATGTCAATTTGTGGGTTTGTCCCTCTGGTGGTCTCAGCTTTGTTCTTTTGGTTAAGGTGTCTGCCAGTTTATATTTTTCCTTTTGCAATAAATACTTTGAGACTATGTGGCTATCTTATTTCACAACAAACTTTCACCAGTTTTTAGCATCTATTGATAATTTTTTAGTTATCTTTTATTCTACAATTATTAGTTTTATGTGTTTTACTGTGGGAGGAGCCTTCTCTTCTTACCCACTTATTTATTGTACATTCCTTTATAACAGTATGGACACAGATTTCTGTCTTTTTCATGTAAATTAGGTATGAACTATCAAATTTTTCATTTGATAGTTCAAAAACTACCAAAGTTTTCATTTTTTATTGCAGTATTTTAGATTTCATTGGTTTCTTTACCTCCGTGCATCCGTGTCAAAAGGGTGCTTCCAGCTTAAAAAGAAACTGCACTTTTTTTTACCTTTCATAAAAATGTGTCCATGTCAATATAAATATTATTGTTGAGGTAGCAAATTATTGGAAAGACAACCAGAGATTTTTCAGAAGTTATAAGAGACTTTTAGATGACACAGGAGAAACCTGATAACTCCAGGTATCTTACAATATTCTGTTGGTGGAGATCACTTTTTTTTTTTGGCAGCTAGCCAGTAAGGGGATCTGAACCCATGACCTTAGTATTATAAGGCTGCACTCTAACCAACTGAGTTAACAGGCCAGCCCTGGAAATAACATTTTTTTTTTTAAAAGATGACCGGTAAGGGGATCTCAACCCTTGGCTTGGTGTTGTCAGCACCACGCTCAGCCAGTGAGCAAACCGGCCATCCCTATATAGGATCCGAACCCGTGGCCTTGGTGTTATCAGCACCGCACTCTACCGAGTGAGCCACAGGCCGGCCCTGGAAATAACATTTTTAAGGATATTTTAAAACTATAAACTATAATTTACTTACTGCAGTTGCAAAGAAATAAGAAACTCTGATGGTGTTCTAAGAGCTTTCTATACCTTGCAACAATTCCATAAGATTGATATTTTTATTCTCCCCCGCCTGCAGATGACAGAACTTAGGTAAACAGATGTTAATAACTTCCCCCCCCCAAAAAAAAATAATAACTTCCCCAAGGTGACACTGCTAGTGAGTAGCCATGCCAGAATTTCAATCCATGCATATCAGTTCAAGAGCCTATTCTTACTTAGGTTGTCTCAATTTATACCATATCCAGAATAAGAATTGCTACTGTGGAAGTGCAGGCATCCTGGTGATGGGACCACTGTGTGTGGTATGGCAGGTTGTTTGCTGAACTACTACTGAAAGGGGTAAAGGGGACATCTGGTATCTATGTTATGTTCTGCTCATAGGCACACTTGCAGCTGCAGCCACCCTGAGGAATAAGCACCTTTGCTAATTCTCAAGGAGCAGCCACATGGATTAGTGACATACTTGCCCAGTTTCTATTGACTTCTCTTTCCTTTCTTAGTTCTGCCCTTTTAGGACTCTGCACTTCCCCAAAAGGAAGAATTAAAAATGAGCATGTTCAAGGTGAGTAGAGCTTGCCTTTCTCACTGTTAAGAATGCAATTTTAGTGCTCAGAGACTGGACACAAGTTTTTCTCCTTCAAGGAGAATCAAAGCATTTGAGGACCTGTTGAGTGTATCAGGTGCTTGTTTTGATCCTTTTAAGTTTAACTGGTTTGGGTTTTAGTTTTTATTTCATCATTTCTTATTTTACAAATAAAAGCAGAAAAATTAATAGAAATGAAAAACATCTGCTTTACTACTTCCCTGCTTACAAATTGGCTACTTTTATATTCCTGTAATTGCTTCATTATATGTATTCATGGTTATACATTTGTATTCATAGCGTAGATACTAGTTTTTTAATACTATATAACATTTATTTTAATTGTATTATATCTCTACCCAATTTATGTACCCAATTTTAAACTATTCTCACTATATTTATAAATTCGCATAAATATGTTTATATTTGTAATTTTTTAAAAACTATTCTCTCTATATTTATATTTATTTAAAGATTTTTGCTGTTTTAGGAACACTACATTGACAGTTTTCCTTTTAACTTTTTTTAAAAAAATCAGTTTAAAAAAATGTATTGCTTTTCTTAATCCTTAACATACTAGGTATTCATCATTAAAAAGGCATGTTTCATATGTGGTGCCTCAGGTCTTTTTTGATAGAATATTCAAATGTGGCACAATGTATCAGGATTTAACTGCTGCTTCACACAGAAAAAATATTATTAGACATATTTCACTGCAAGGGCCTGATTCTGTCTTCTCTTATGCCTGAGTCATACCCCGTGTGTATTTTATTTACTGGTCTATCTTTTTTCATTTGTGTTGTTTTTTTTAAAAATAAAAGTAATATATGACCTTAGTTTATTTTTTGTTTATTTATATATTTATTTAAAAGATGACCAGTAAGGGGAACCCAACCCTTGACTTGGTGTTGTCAGCACCACGCTCACCCAGTGAGCTAACCGGCCATCCCTATATGGGATCCGAACCCGTGGCCTTGCTGTTATCAGCACCACAGTCTCCCAAGTGAGCCATGGGCCAGCTCTATTATGTGACCTTAGTTTAAAAAGTCTGTTGGTACTGGAAGACTTGCCAGATGCTTGAGCTTTGTCGCTGTGTTTACACCTCAGAGCAACTGTAGGAGGAGGTACTTGGTTTCATCTTCATTTTAAACATTGAAGAAAAGGGGTTGTGAAAAACGAGGAGCCTGCACACATTCATGTGGAAAACCATAATGATCTGGAGTCAGGGTATTGTGTTCAAGTGAAAGACAGAGTCAGGAGGAAAGAGAGAAAGAGTCTTATTCAGCGACCTGACATGCCCTTTTGATTTATTTCCATGTATAACACTACTCCTCACCTGACTCCCACCTCAGTGGGAAGGCAGTTGCTATCAAACACTATTGGAACTAATCTGGTAAACATTTGGGGGGAAATTGGGACTATTAACTGAAACGTTAAACTTTTTTAGTTCAGGATGCAACAGTTAGAGTTCTAGGGGGTTTACTTACAACAGTACACCCTGAGAATAGCAGGTAAATATACAAAGCTTTCTTTTTCATAGCAGCAATTTTGGTAAGGCTGAGGAAAATCAGCGTATGGCGTTGGCAAGATAGAAGGAAAAGGGCTGGGAAATGTACTACAAATGGCTCAGAATCCAGAGCAACTTCCCACCCATCCTTCCCACCTTCCCACTTTCCCACCTTCTCAGTGTAGCTCCTCTTCCAGTGAACATTGGTTGTAAGATTGAGGCTATGTGTGTTTGTTGTAGGAAGCAGTGACATTCAAGGACGTGGCTGTGGCCTTTACTGAGGAGGAGCTGGGGCTGCTGGACCCTGCCCAGAGGAAGCTGTACCAAGATGTGATGGTGGAGAATTTCAGGAACCTGGTCTCAGTGGGTGAGGACTGGAGTGTCATTGTGACCTTGGAGTTTTAAGGCTTTGAAAAGGTTCTTGAAATGGTTCCCTGAAGGCCGGCCTGTGGCTCACTCGGTAGAGTGCGGTGCTGATAACACCAAGGCCACGGGTTCGGATCCCATATAGGGATGGCCGGTTTGCTCACTAGCTGAGTGTGGTGCTGACAACACCAAGCCAAGGGTTGAGATCCCCTTACCGGTCATCTTTTAAAAAAATGAGCGTTGATCATCAGTTCACATATATGAAGGTACTTCAAAAAGTTCATGGAAAAATAGAGTTAAAAGATTTTTATTTATACAGATTTTTTCATGATCTTATTGAAGTACCCTTGTATTTTTGTTTATTCACTGATTATCTGTATCACTGGAGTGTAATCTCCAGGAGTGAAGACATTTTGTCTCTTTTGTTTATTGCTATCTCCTCAGTGGTTAAAATAGTCCTGGTATGTGGCAGGGGCTCTGTAAATATTAGTTGAATAAATGAGTGAGTTAGTGGATATGGACATCTGTCTTTCATGGAAATAGCAAATAGGAAGCAAATGAATCAGAGTAAATAAGGTATATTGCAAAATATTTCTTGTCTTCTAATGAATTCCTAATATAATTCTAATTTCCCAGGAGCCTAATTTTAATTTCCCAGGTGTGTACATATGTCTGTACGAGTTGACCCATGTACGAAAGTCTTACAGTTGTAAACAAACTGAATAACAAGCTTTCCCTGTGACTGTCTTTGAGCAATTGTAACAGAGTATATTCATTTTGGGGGTGGGGGAGGGATGATACTTTTTTAGTGAGAATTCTTATGTCTGTCTATTTCTTAGGCATTTCCACATAGAAGGAAGTAAAATTCTGTTTCCTTATCTCTTACATTGGGGAAGAAAAAGTTTTTAAAAATAGCCAACTTGTGAGTTAGCCTTTCCCTTAAAAGATTTGCCAAGCTGCATCTCATTTGCTTCTCCCAAAGTCCACATCCATAATAAGAAATGGATTTTAGCATTGTTACCTCTACAAACATTTTATATGTGTGTAGATTTATATGTATCACCTTAGAAGGCATCTCATGTAATGACACTGTTAGTGCGGATGATACTTTTTTAGTGAGAATTCTTATGTCTGTCTATTTCTTAGGCATTTCCACATAGAAGGAAGTAAAATTCTGTTTCTTTATCTCTTACATTGGGGAAGAAAAAGTTTTTAAAAATAGCCAACTTGTGAGTTAGCCTTTCCCTTAAAAGATTTGCCAAGCTGCATCTCATTTGCTTCTTCCAAAGTCCACATCCATAATAAGAAATGGATTTTAGCATTGTTACCTCTACAAACATTTTGTATGTGTGTAGATTTATATGTATCACCTTAGAAGGCATCTCATGTAATGACACTGTTAGTGCTTGTGATGATTCTCTGGTAGTTTCTAGTCTGTTTCTTCAAAATACTTATTGTAAGCTATTAAATTTACTTCATAGTTTTTTTTTTTTTTTTTTTTAAAGATGAACGGTAAGGGGATCTTAACCCTTAACTTGGTGTTGTCAGCACCACGCTCACCCAGTGAGCGTCCAAAGTCCACATCCATAATAAGAAATGGATTTTAGCATTGTTACCTCTACAAACATTTTGTATGTGTGTAGATTTATATGTATCACCTTAGAAGGCATCTCATGTAATGACACTGTTAGTGCTTGTGATGATTCTCTGGTAGTTTCTAGTCTGTTTCTTCAAAATACTTATTGTAAGCTATTAATACTTCATAGTTTAATTTGGAAAACATTTTCGTTAAATGCAAATATAACTACATCAAAAAATTTTTCATATTTTGTTTTCACAGAGACAGCATTCTTCCCTAACATCTGAATTTTGACTCTTACTTGAGAAACTAAAAACATATTAGAGACAGTACAAAAGCCTCAGAAGGATCCAGTGCATAGTTCTTCATGCTTTCCTTTTATCCCAAGTGATTTTTACTGCCTTTGGTTTTTTCCTCAGCATTAACCCCCTTACTGTACACCTGTCTTAGGTACAGCTTTTCAGCTTCTCAGCAGAAGTGCACTTTCCAGTTATTTTTGTATTTCAGATACCTTATTTGTAAGAGCTCTTTTGCTTCTGTAACTTGGCTGAAACTTAAACTTGGATTTGAAAATATAGAGAATCCCAGAAATCAAACTGGGATTCGTCTGTGCATGCATTTCTTGGACACCTAGTAACTGCCAGGCACTGTTCTTGGCAGTTGTTATAAATTATGAGCACTGTAAGATGTTTGTCCTTATTGATACTGTATTATGGTAGGAAAGATATGTAATTTTAAAAAGTGATTTAGGTAGTATGTATGTCAATAATTGTGTTTTAAAATGGGTTTTATTTATCCTTAGTAGTTGGGAGCTTAGTGAATCCCCTCTTGGTTTCTGTCAGTATGTAAACCAGAAAACTTCATATGTAGTGGAAAAGATAAGCTGAGCCATCCTGAGGTTTATTAAAGCCTCATACTGTGTCCTAAGTGTGAAATCTTAAATCTTTTGAACAAAGCTTTCACTTGTCCAAGTCTCTGAATTATTTGTCCTTACAGGAGAGAACAATCAAAGTGAGTTAAGGACTGTTCATGACAGAGCATCTCATGAAGAGCTTTCCTGCTGGCAAATCTGGCAACATATTGCAAATGACTTAACCAGATGTCAAGACTCCATGATAGATAATTCTCAGTTTCACAAACAAGATGATTCCCCCTGCCAGGTTGGGGCAGGGCTTCCTATTCAAATTTATGAAGATAATACTGGCAGTCCAGAGTTCCCAACTTTGAGAACCCAGGATTCTCAGAGGAAAACTTTCCTGACTGACTCACAGAATTATGAGAATAGGTATCAGCAAATTTCCAAGAAAAACGAACTATGTCAGTGTAAACAGGGTGTTGACCCCATCAGTTGGATTTCTTATCACCATGATGATCATAGGATGCACAAAAGTGAAAAATCTTATAGCCCCAATGATTGTGGAAAAGACAGCATGAAGATTCCAGCATTTGATCAGAATAGGATGATTCACACAGGACAGAAACCTTACCAGTGTAATGAATGTAAAAAAACCTTCAACAACCTCTCCAGCTTTGATCTTCATCAGCAGTTACACCCAGGAGAGAAGTCTCATACACGTATTGAGTGTGAAAAAGGCTTCTGTTATAGTTCAGTTCTTCATGTTCATCAGAGAATTCACATGGGAGAAAAACATAAGTGTAATGAGTGTGGTAAGAAATTTAGTCAGAGGTCACATCTACAAGCCCATCAAAAAGTTCACACTGTGGAGAAACCATACAAGTGTGAGCAATGTGGGAAAGGTTTTGGTCGTAGATCAACACTTAATGTTCATTGTAAAGTTCACACTGGAGAAAAGCCTTATAATTGTGAGGACTGTGGGAGGGCCTTCAGTCAGGCCTCTCACCTTCAGGACCATCAGAGACTCCACACTGGGGAGAAACCATTCAAATGTGATACATGTGGTAAGAGCTTCAGTCGGAATTCACATCTTCAATCCCATCAGAGAGTCCATACAGGAGAGAAACCATACAAATGTGAGGAGTGTGGGAAGGGCTTCATTTGTAGCTCAAATCTGTACATTCATCAGAGGGTCCACACAGGAGAAAAACCCTATAAATGTGAGGAATGTGGTAAAGGCTTTAGTCGTCCTTCAAGTCTTCAAGCCCATCAGGGAGTCCACACTGGAGAGAAATCATATATATGTACTGTGTGTGGTAAAGGCTTTACTCTTAGTTCAAATCTTCAGGCCCATCAGAGAGTCCACACTGGAGAAAAGCCCTACAAATGTGAGGAGTGCGGGAAGAGCTTCAGGAGAAACTCCCATTATCAGGTTCATCTAGTGGTCCACACAGGAGAGAAACCCTACAAATGTGAGGTATGTGGGAAGGGCTTCAGTCAGAGTTCATATCTTCAAATCCATCAGAAGGCCCACAACGTAGAGAAACCTTATAAGTGTGAGGAGTGTGGGCAAGGCTTCAATCAGATTTCACGACTTCAGATTCACCAGCTGATCCATACTGGTGAGAAACCGTACAAATGTGAAGAGTGTGGAAAGGGGTTCAGTCGTAGAGCAGATCTTAGAATTCATTGTAGGATCCACACAGGAGAGAAACCGTATAATTGTGAGGAGTGTGGGAAAGTCTTTAGGCAGGCCTCAAATCTTTTGGCCCATCAGAGAGTCCACAGCGGAGAAAAGCCATTCAAATGTGAAGAGTGTGGGAAGAGCTTTGGTCGGAGTGCACACCTTCAAGCTCACCAAAAAGTCCATACTGGAGAAAAGCCTTACAAATGTGAGGAGTGTGGGAAGGGCTTCAAGTGGAGCTTGAATCTTGACATGCACCAGAGGGTCCACACGGGAGAGAAACCATTTAAGTGTGGAGAGTGTGGTAAGTACTTCAGTCAAGCCTCAAGTCTTCAGCTTCATCAGAGTGTCCACACTGGAGAGAAACCGTACAAATGCGATGTGTGTGGTAAAGTCTTCAGTCGGTCTTCACAACTGCAGTCTCATCAGAGAGTTCACACAGGGGAGAAACCTTATAAGTGTGAGATATGTGGTAAGAACTTCAGTTGGCGATCAAATCTTACGATTCATCACAGAATCCACGTTGATGATAAATCCTATAAACGTAATAGGGGTAGTAAGAACATCAGTGAATCCACACAGGAAAAAGTTCTATAAAACGATTTTTTTTGGAGACTCAAGTGTCATGTGAATTCTTTCATTCATCATGTCTCGAAAGAAAAGATCATTTGTTTCATTAAAGTTAGTGTTTCAGCCATAGCGCCTCATGTCCCAGTTGTCCAGAGACCACACGGCAGAGAACTTTTGTAATTGCTGTAGTAAAGGCTTCAGTCAGCATCCTGACCTTTATCAAATGTTACTCAGAAGAGAGGCCTTAAAGGATAAGAGTTTTTTCTGGCCTTTTACAAAAGTTTGATGAACATGGCAAAACTAGGGTCCAATAGAATGTTAACTCCATAAAGGCAGAGACTTTGTCCACTATTGAGTCAAGATGATCTTATCATTGCCAAGTGCTTCACAGGTGCTCAATATTTGTTAATAAATGGGAAAATATATAATATCTGAATATTGTGTTGAGATCACCTCCAGAATATCATAAATTTGTATTCAGAACAGTAAACCTGAGAGTAGCCTTAATAAAATTAGGGAGACAAAGAGTTGAAAGGTAGAAAACTACACAGTACTGCAATATGTCATATTTGTTTGGCATTGTCCTGTTATAATTAGTTCCTGTCCTCCCCCAGCCTTTCGTATCAAGTTGGCTCCTATCTTCTTGGACTTTCTCTAGTGTTGTACTGATTTTACACAGTATAGATTCAATTATCTTTTTTTTTTTTCCTTTTTGTCTTTTTTCGTGACCGGTAACGGGATCGCAACCCTCAGTGTCACGCCCGTACCGCGACTGGCAACAGGATCGCAACCCTCAGT